ACAGAACAAATATGGCAACCGACTAAAAAGCTTGCCATCTAATCCACTAATAAACACTGAATAGATTCCCTGTGGGTCAGCCATATTTGACCCTTGGACTAGTAAGTCCGCTGTTCTGAATGCAGATTAACTTGTCCCTTCTTATGTGTGAAATCTTCAAAGGTAGTTGAATATGTGTAGTACATACTCTGATCTTATACTTGGCATTTGGTGAAAGATGGTAAAAAATAATTTTTGTTGTGCTACATGTAATATACTAGTAGCTTTTGATAGATGATGTTGTTTATTTGTTTATGAGATTTTTTTATTTAGCTTGCAGATTGTTCATGGGACGAGCATGTGAGAGTATATTCCCCAGCATCACTAGGGAGCAAATAGAAGCAGATCAGAATGAGGGCAAGGGGCCTTTCACAAAAAATCTGAAGTGAAAATATCATTTTAGCTGACTCACTTAAAAGCTTACCAAACTACATTTAAGCTGCATTGCTCAAAGACTCAAAAAGCCACTTACCCCTCCTACCAGTATCTTGAAACTTTCCTCAAGACCAAAAAGTATTAATTGTAAGTGGACATGAACATGCAACAAAGGACAATCTAGTCACTAGTGCATTATCACATTCTAAACATGGCAGTTGGAAATTGATATTGAATCATCTTTATGCTGCATTTTAATAATCTTTTATAATTTATATAACGTTGGCAGGAACCCTCAACTATGTGTATTTGTATCTAGTTATGGCTAATTTCCTAGTAGTACAAGTATGATCAAATTCTGAATTTCATTGCCTTGATTTGTGCTTATGAAGCCAGCTGAACTAAGCACTTCCTCAGAAGGAATGTGGAGGTTGTTAAGTGACATTTAATTTGATTTAATAATGTGACTGCATAAACTGTATGTGTGGGTAACTGCATGACCTAAGAGTCTTTGATATACAGGGTACTGTGTGCCCATTCCCAATGAAACTATTGTTCTACTTAGAAAGATAAAACTCCTCGGGGACTTGCAATCAGATTAACGTGTTAACACACCTCTGGTGTTGAGTAGAATACAGAAAAGCTGGAGATCATATGAGTGTTGCAAGGAGTTCTGACCGTTGACTATTGTCATCAGACAACATACCAATACAAAACAACACATCTTGTTGAGATGTAGTAGCATTAAACTTTTTTAAAATAATCAATTACAAAGGCAATAACACAATTCATCCAGAACTAAAGACCAATTAAGGTACGGTAATGCAGTTGTGAAAATATTTAGAATGCTATGTAAAACTTAAGGCTAAAAATGGTAATAAAGATAAAGCAATTAAAAGAACATTTTGGTACTAAAGCATAAGTACAATACAATATCACAATAGAATGTTTCGGTACTAAATTTAAGAACATTTACGGTACTAGTCAAACAAATGTCAATTCTACAAGAAGTGGCCAATAAGATCCATCTTACACCCCTCACCATATCAATCAGGCCACTTATCCCTGTTACTTGTACATGGGGGATACTGACCAATGATGTCCAGCCGACACCCCTCACGAGATTGACCACACCACTACCCGTTATGCAATAATTTAACCCCAATACAGTGAGAGCACAATACACGAGATTCCCTGTGGATTTGGACCGATGTACATGTATAGTACAGTGAACATACCTGGTAAAACCATAGTTTCATTGGGAATGGGCCCCCCATGATTGTAGTACATGTACTATGTCAGAAAAAAAATCTTACTGTCAGACTTTTCACATTCTTTTTATGTGTTTACTTGCAGACATATACATATAGATAGATAGATAGATACTGAATATTCAATGTATTGAAATTCTGTTTTGATCAACATAAGTCTGGTATTACATAAAAGTTGAAACAAATCTGGACTATAGCCAACAAATTGTTGAGCTCTTCAGTTACACTCTGCATGAAAAGAAAACAAAGAGTCACTATGGCTGAAGCTCCAGGGACAACGCAGATAGAAGATCAAAGAGGAGAGTGAATGGCGATGGATATATATTGGTTCAGGATGCTGTAAGATTTTATTATCATCAAAAGTAAAAAATATATATATAAATATATACATAATTGTTCAATATTGTATTTACAATTTTGCTGATTAAAAACAATAAAATCCCCTACGAAAATACAAGATTTTGGCATTGATATTTTCCATTGCTTTTTACAATAAATACTGTTGACTTCGCCTTAGTTGCTGTGGGATGGGTGGAGCTAATGTGGTGTCACGTGATATGCAGACATCTGAATGATGCAGTCACAAGCAAAAGATGCCTTTCAGAAGTCTTATGGAGTGTGAGCTGTATACATGGGAAGTGAAAGCGAAACAGATCGCAAAAAAATTAACAGAAGACCAGAAAGTTTGGCATTTGCAACGCTATTTGTTTTTTTTTCTTCAGACTTATTTTTTCACTTTCTGGTGTGTTAGGACTTCCTCAAGCATCTCTGGTTAGCACTTTTTTGTACGTAAGTTATTGAAGAATAAAAACGACAAAAATGCAACAATTATTATCATCTACAAAATGTGTAGAATTTTAAGTCGTTATAAATCAGTCAACATAGTTGGTCCTCATTCTCTGACCCTGTATAATGCATTTAGGAAAGGTTACTAGTGATAGTCAACTTCTACAGCTCTCAATAGATTTTTTTAAAAAGATTTTATCCATGAAATTGCTAGGCCCCTGCAGAGCTGGTGTGTTTTCCACCATTTCCTTAACAATATCATTGGAAATCTCGTATTTCATTTAGGCCTACCCAAGAAATAAAAATTTCACATTTTAGTGGTATGTGAAGATGATGTGGAAAAAAAAAACAAGTTTGGCATTTGCATCTCTTCTAGTTCATTCATGTCCCTCAGTCTTAAACGAGCTTGCTTGTTCTATTTCTGGTGCTCTGGATTGGATGGATTGGATCAGGCATTCTATGGTAGGCGACCCACAACTATACTGCCGCTGTGCTGGCGATTATTGGCTAGTAGTCGAGTAGCCAGAGGAAAAATAGAAAAACGACCAGAAGTCGCCAGGTATACTTTATCAAGAGCTTCTATAAACGTTTATCCTGTCACAAGAGCACAACAGGACTAGTGAATACACTAAAGTTGCATATTTAGTCTTATTAAAAGCATATCGCCTTTTATATTTATGCTCATTATGATACTTTGTTTGCCAAAAACTTTATTTGACATTCAACAGATTTTCTACCGGTCTCAGAGAAGGACATTACCTCAATGAGAAAGGCTATGAATTCCAAGTTTTGTGCTCTGGATCCCATGCCATATATAGTGAAAGAGTGTATTAGTGTATTATCTCCAGTTCTTTTGAGATTACTAAATCCGTCTTTCTCAACAGGCATTTTTCCATCAAACTGCAAAACTGAAATTGTTAGACCATTACTGAAAAAGCAAGGTCTGTGTAAAAAATGTCCTGAAAACTATAGACCAATGTCAAATCTACCCTTTTTAGGCAAGTTTCTTGAAAAAATGGCATGTTCGCAACTAAGCAGTTAGCTGGCTGAAAATAAACTCTTTGGGAAATATCAGTCTGCCTATAGAGAAGGCCACAGTACTGAGACCTTTCAGCAGCTTTTGACACTATAGATCATGATATTCTTCTTCACAGGTTGCCCCATTGCTTTGGAGTGAATGGACTTGCACTTAGTTGGAATACCAGACCTGAAAAACGGAACACAAAGGGCTTCAATAGAGCCAGTTTTATCTCAGCCGGTTAACTTGAAATCTGGTGTTCCACAAGGGGCTGTGTTAGGTCTGATCCTATTCGCATTATACATGTTACCTGTAGAAGATATTATACTAAAACATGGTCTGAACACTGTCATTTTTGCAACAATTTTGATAACAAACAAAGTCTATATTACATGCGAGAACAGCCAGTCTGCAACAATAACTTCTATCGAGACTTGTCTTGAAGAGATTCGAGAATGGATGAAAGTGAACATGTTGGCTTTAAACGATAGTAAGAGTGAGTTGATATGGTTCAAGGCAAATAGGAATCAAGATACGATTACCGCAATGGTCTCCTCTTTGGTATATTCAGGAACCGTAAATGCTAGAGACCTCTTTTTTTTTTTTTTTTTTTTTTTTTTTTTTCATTTTGTAGAGCATGTCAAGCCCAACACTGCGGATGCTGTCTGTTTTTTATTTCACTCAGCCAACAGGTACAACAACTGTTGGCTGAGTGAAAGAAACAATTTCCGTTCAATTTTCCTCTTTTTCCCCCAAATGTTTTATTTTGTGTCACAAATACCCCGTATTCATGTATAATAAAGCCATTATTATATTATCAAAATGAAACTTTACACCAATACTTCAGTCTACGTCAATTATCCAAACGACCTATAGCATCTTTTTCAATTTATTCTAGACATTGTCCTCTCCTTTGGACGTAAATCTATAATGCACCCCATATAAAGGACAGACGCAATAATATAAACTGCAGAGGAATAAGCTTGCTCTCTTGTATTAGAAAACTGGAAAGCGTTTCCAACGGATCACACATTAACTAAGAATACGAACATTATAGTGGATAAGCAAAACAGATTCCGACTAATCGGATCACATACATATATGTCTATTTTTAATACTCTCATAAAAATAGCGACAGACTTCTTCGCTTTTTAAGACTCAGAAATCCTTTGATTTCATTGACATTCATTTGCAATTAAGAGCTGGGCTAGGGGTTTGCATCAAAATGTAACTTTTTAGATTGGATTAAAGTCTCATCTTATCTTCTCTAACACAATCGATTGATTTTTGTTGGGTTTATTAATTCAAACAGCGAAATCTGACTGCTAACACTGGTCATTTGATATATTGTTTGATGGCTGTTAAAACGACGTGATTGTTTTGCCATTATGAATTTAGCAAACCCGAATTGCCTTCCCGGGATAGGAATCGATAATAGTGCCCTGTTACATAACAAAGACCAAGACCTAAATCGAGGCCTCTGTACGGAGGGTGGTCAACTGTATATTATTAGGTAAACCAGGTGAGCACTTTGCTGAGAGGTATTCAGATAGGACCTAGGTCAGTCGGAAAAGAAAGAAGCCTCACTGTTACAAGTTCCATATGTAGGCCGAAATTCTGACACTGAAACTGCAGTAATCTGTTGTAAGTACCGTAGAGATAATATAAGATTACACTTCTGATTTTGTGTGGATGACATTTTCCCAAAACGGTACATTTTCCATTGAAGTCATATTGACCATGGAGACATGTAAATGACGTGCACGCCACTTTCTCCTAGAAGTCCTAAATGAGCTTGAAGTAAAATTGCTTATTGTCTGTTATTATTTTCTAAAGGGAACTCATTTGCCAATAAAGAAGCAAGGAGACTATTCCAGTTGCCCACAAACATGATATTCCATCTCAAACAAAGCAAGACGACAAGGCAGGTGACTGTATACTTATCTCTTTATTGGGTGCCCTTTGATTCCTTGCGATAACAATATGTTTTTCAAAGAATCAAGTGTCTCCTGTTTTTTAGAGTAAACTAAAATGGTAATAATATCACTGTAAATTAAGTTCGTGGTTGTGTAGAACGTGTTGGTTTAATATATTTATTCATATAACTTGATTTTTACCCATAGTCATGATTTCCGAAATGGATTGTTGCAATTGTTTTCTTCTTTATCGAACACTTAGATACTGTCTCGTGAATGTGAAATTTGTTTAATTTAATCTCATTTTCATTTAATTCCAGTGACTCTTAACTACCGTTTATGAGATTGGATTCACCCCCAGCAAAGATATCAACTTCGTGTTCGACAGCGCCCGCACCCATGTCAGATTGTCTCGCTTGTCGAAGTTTGTTTTATAGTTAATATTCAGGGTTGACATTTGATTTAGTTTGAAATGTAAGGTTTGCTTTGGGTTGTAATATCAAATGTGTATCAAATGAAGTGCAGCGTGTAACGAGTGTTTTAGTTATGAAACTTCTGATAAAAATGGACTAAATCCAAGCGTCAACCCTTCACGTCACTGGTTTATTACTTGAGATACGTAAATAAGTTACAGCACAGCTCTCTATTCACACCCAGTGTTTTTTATTGTAATTTGTTTATATTTTTTGTTTATAACCACCAGTTCTCGAACCTGAAACGACACTTTTGGGATGCTCTTCAAACAGAAATAACGTCGCTGAAATCATTTTCTTGCCTAAGTGATGCATAAAAATGAAAAATGATAAAAATATTGTAGAATTATCACTAAGTGATGTCCAGGTAGAACACTGTGTTGGTATGACCGGTTTTCTGTTTGTAAAATATGTGTGGGCAAATTTGTAATAAGACACTTTGTTGTGCACTTGAACATGTATGTTTATTCATATCACATTGAAAATAAAAAATAATTTTAATGAAATTAACTTTTGAAAAGGAATAGATGTCGCGACTCCGTTACATAATGTGCATACAGGAGTTCTGGGTTCACTGAAAGAAATGAACGAGATGCATATTTACAATAAACTGTAAACGCTGTAATCCAAATTATGACGCTTAAGAATTATCGGCAGTATGAAATTGTAAAATGTGCTCAAGTTATTGCAGAAATGTCCACACGTACTGAAACGGATTTTTTCTTAAATTGTGAATATGCTGTTATGACACAGCTGAGAATGAGTTTTGATGTAGTCTCTCTGATCAGTGTCCCATTCACAGTTTTATTGCTGGGAGGAGGTAGGACTGTTTGTGTTTTCAGATAATCAAACCAGCGTTTGGGGGAAGTTATTTCGAAATTAATGTTTTTGCTATCACAGAAGGAAAATTGACCTTCTTCCAGTACAACAAAGCGGGGATGTTTAATGTTCACAAAGAATGAAATGTAAAAATGTTTTCCTTTTGGCATCTTTTGTCAATTAAAATGTATATGCAGGATTGGCATTTATCACATCCTTGTACAACTTAAAATTCTGAAAAATTCTTATCGAATTCGTATTGATAACAGGTTGTCGCAAGGCTCTGCATTTTTTTTTTTTTTTTTTTTTTGGGGGGGGGGGG